GAGGCAGCAGAGGGAATGACTTCCTCCATGACAACTTGCTAAGAGGAAGACTGCGGCACAAGGTTCAAAATTTGTTAGTTAGAGAATCCACATAAGAAGAAACGCTATGAATATCCTCACCATGGTAAAAGCCTTTGTTGACGTTTATTCCACACTAAGTACTGAAGAATACATGCAGCAGCACTCATGACTAGGGAATGGATTTTTGTGTATCTTGTAAAAGCACTAATTTCAACTCAAAACCCCAAGAGGAAGAAAAACATTCAGAATATGTCTTACGCTCCTCTTTCTTCTTCTTTCCCTGGTATGTGGACTGCCTTACCAAGAATAGATAGTATATATGCAGCCTTATTGAAATTCAAACAAAACATAAGCCTTGTATGAGAAACATGTCTTTTGGAATCAGACTGTTAGTTTTTATGAAACTGTTTGCTAGATTTTTTTTTTTTTTTTTTAATTAGGAAGTTTAGGAACACAGAATAATATAGCTGTCAGTTGCCAGACAATCCAAGAAGCAATTATTTGTTCTGCTATCTCTTGCAATTGCACTGCCTCATGAAACAGAGAGCACAGTATCAATACTGGATCTACCTTTGCTTTGGAATACTTGAAAAAGATTCTTTGCAAAAATCCTTGCTCCGTTCTGTCCTCTTAACAACCCTCAGAAATTCCTTGCATCTCTACAATGAGGAAACACTTAAGTATCTTCGTATCGGAGCCAGTACCAGACCCACAGAGACAACTACTACCTTAACGCAACACTACGTGGGTACTGTTGACATCCAGCTGAAATGGTGTAGAACGTCAAAATTGGTCTTTGACAGCTGCCTTCATCACAACAGTCAAACCTGCTGTGACAGTGCTAGTTCTGCATTGTTTTTAAGTCTTGTTTATCTGAGGGATATTTGGCTGCATTAATGAAAAAGCATGAAAATGCCACAAGTCTGTTAAACTGGAACGTCAGTCATGGAGAACCATAATCATCCAAGTGCACAGGGAGTTCCAGGTGGCACCATTTCTCCTGTTAATCCAATGTAAGCTCAAGTTTGTGCTTTTAGCAACATGAGGCCATGATTCATCATCTTTCTGATTTTTGCTCAAATGTAGGCACTTGACAAATCTTCCTAATAAGGCCTGCAGATTTGTGATGTGCTTGCTCACAGAAAAATTGAAGCGAGTTTGACATTTCCAATATTCATTTATTTGAAATGAAATATGCTTTGTAAGGTCTATAGAGAGTCTAAAATTATGTAAATAATTGAGCTAGCATTGCCTGTGAAAACTAAGAAAGTATTGGGGGTGGGGGGGAAGAACCACTGACCCTTCCCAAAACACTAGTATAGAGAAACAAGAATTATTCTACTTCCCTGGAAGAGATACTAGTCAAGATAGCTGCACATGACCAGGAGTATCAGCATAGTGAAATGAAGCATTTGATACAGCAAATACAGCCAGATACTCCTTGTCTCAGTAAGAAGAGCAAGAAAGATGTCTGGGCTGACCCCCTCCTTCATCCACGCAAGCGTGAAACTTTAATAATTTAAAAGAGCTTGGAAATTCTGGGTTTCCTGATGGCAGCCACAAGACGCAGGCCAAAAAAAGACTACAGATTCTAGCAACAGATATGCATTTGAACAATTTTTCTTTTAAATAAAGGTATCATAATATAAGGCAAAACTAATTAAACAAAGAAAACCACTGGACCAGGTGTCAAAGGGAAATTCCAGTTGTGCTTTATTTAGGTTTAATTGTCAACATCAGATAATAAAGAATATTATACACAAGCACCATTACAGTTTTACAGGCTAAAATAAAAGAATTCTTATTTTAGCCAATAAAACTAACTTTCAAGAGCTCAGCTGCTTGTAACTTTGCCCGTTTAATTATTTCCAAGAGACTCTGAAACTCAGATATAGGTTTTCTCAAGAAAGAAAATGTTTTTTCCCCTTCAACTAACTTGCACAGGTGTACACTCCCAAACCAAACAGAAGAGAACACCACCTTACTGCATTTAAAGTTGACAAAGTAATTTCTCCAAGTTTTCAAAAATGACTATCAGGTTTGAAGAGCCTTCAACTCTTCTGTGTTTGGTTGCTTGGGGTTTTTTTTCCCCCCTGAAACTGCATGAATTAGTTACTGCAACATTAGAAGAGTGCTTTTGTATGGCAGAATTTTATTTTTCCATGTTAATCCAGAAGATCCTAGAAATTCCATAAAGACACACTATTTCTGGTCATATAGGTGTAAAATCCTGACAGAATATAATCCTTCAAATAAATTACTATACGTACACTTCATCTTGGCTGCAGAGTAATGCAATTAGGTAGCTGTAATACAAGACAGCAGAAAAGTTTCCGGAAATCAGAAGAGTTCCATTAGGGAATGACACGATTCATTATCTTTTTCCTATTCTCCTTGCTCTGGTTCGTTTTTTGTCCCACAAAGTTATGTATTGTGTATTTATATATTAAAGAGTATATTACTCATTTTGAATTACTGAAAAATTTATCATAGTTATGTTTTTTAAATTAGAGTTAATCAAACTTAAATTATGACATGCCTGAGTCACAGTTCAGTATAATTGGATCCATGCGCACATGAACACTGTAATCCTAATGACTATTAGTTCTGGTCTACTGACATCAAATACAGCACTTGCATTGAACAATGCGTCATGAAACGTTTGATCAAAATGTGCGTTCGCACTTTTATTTTTTGTAAACAGCATTATAGCCTTGAAAGTGATTTACTCCTGAAGGAGAATATTCATGTAACATTATACTATTTCACAAGTTCCTACACTGAAATAAAAATATTACAAGGCTTTGTGGTAAAACTCTTGATAAGGTAAAACAGACTTCCCTAC